TGATATATATAGCTTTATATTATTATTCCCTTTAGACCAGGGGTCTTCAAACTTGGCCCTTTTATGACTCATGGACTTCAACTCCCAGAATTCCTCAGCCAGGCATGCTGGCTGAGGAATTCTGGGAGTTGAAGTCCATGAGTCATAAAAAGGCTGAGTTTGAAGACCCCTGCTTTAGACAGAACCTATTACACTCAGGGCCTCACATTTTAAAAAAAGAGGGGGTGGGTGGGGGGTCTTTAACATTTGAAAACCTGGAAAATATTGATGTTACAGTATGGGTTAAGTTCACAAACTGAGATGCTGACTTTTTTCAAAGTAGAACCAAGCTCGGTATCTAAGAATGAACTATCTTTTTATTTACTATAGTTCAACTTTAAATCTGTCATAAGATGGTTGTGAATCAAGACCACAACTCTACCCTGTAATTAAAGAGGTCTTGAAAAATGAAAGCATAAGTGCTAAGTATGTTGTTAGATTACTTCAAGCTATAGGCAAGGGCTCATATGATTGAATTATCCTTCATTCAATCAATCCATTTGTAAAGCAATCAATCAAATAGAAAACTAGAGCCCAAAGAGACAGTTTTAGTTAAATCACAGTCTATCTACATTTCTCCCTAGGATTTTTTGGGTGGGTGGTGGTGATGATTTGAGTCACCTAGTGATGTTTCTTCAGTAACACTGAAACCTTAGCACTTCATTACTGTGTTTATCTATTTCTGAATTTGAAATTTAATTCTGATTGCTCCCTTTATCGCTATTCTCAATTCAGTGGGGACAACTCTCAATATTCATGTAGAAAATGTGCACATTTCACAAATATTGTTTTTGATCCAAAGAAAAGACTGCTCTTTCTTCTTATGGTAATGGAGAAGCCATATTCCATTAGCTTTGAATAAGTTACTTGGTTTTCATGCCTATAATAATAAACCATAGTTTGCTGTTATATCCAAACACAGCAATATATAAATCAAACATATTTGGGTATGTGCTAATATCATTGACATACAATTCATGAAGGAATATCTTTACTATCAAATGGAAAAGATTTTGATTTATTTTTAATGTAATTTGTGAGAAATTATTGGAGGAGAGAAGTTGTTTTCAAATCAGGACAAGATCCAGTGTGGTTTACCTCCTTAAAATATATTACCCCAAGAAACTGTATCTGCCAATTTATAATCTGGAAACTGCTGAAGGAGCTTAGAATGTAAGTTCCTGAATAAGAAGGAAATCCATTGCAAATATACTGGTTTTACGCAACTTCAAACATGATGTGGATTTGCAAGCAGAATCTATGAATTGCACTTATGAAATGAATTCCCAATATTCATGGAGTCAGAAGAGTATGTGCAGAAATACAACCCCTGGCACATTTGATACAAATGGAGGAGATAACTCTGTTCTAATATACAGTATGTGTATGTATGTGTATGCGTTTGCTTGTTTGTTTGTTCGATTTCTATAGCTGCCCAACTCAATCAACTGATTCTGGGTGGCTTACAGTTCTAAAATTATAAAACAATCAAAACAAATTAAAAAAAACCCAATAAAACCATCCACAAAATAAATAAGTACAAAGAGCAGCCCTGACGATTAATGAACCAATAGTAAAGCCATATACACACATACCTGATGTAAAGGACATATTTTCATCATTTCTGAAATGACAGGCAAAGGCATCAAAGGCATCAAGCCCCCTCACCAAACTAACCAAATACAGCAAGAGAGGTTATGAGCAGGAAAAATGAAGCTATTATGGTACCTGTGAAAAATGTCCTTTAACTTTTTGAACAATCAATTTAAGAGGAAATATTTATATTATTTCTGATATTGTATAGAAATACTACAGAATTATATTTCTAAGTAGACCATGAGCTTCCTCTAATACTGTTTTTAGGAGCTGTTTGGTTGGTCTTAGACTGCTTTATACCAGCTGTCCTTATTACATACTAAGGATTATAACTGGTAATTTTATTCATCCTATCAAATTGCAGTGCATGTTCCTCTGGAGTGGAAAAATGGAGAACAAATTTGGACTCTTATTGTTTTAAAAAATATGAATCTATCCTAGTCATACTTCACAAACCTCATAACATCAGCATCTGTCTGAATTTTGCAACAAACAAACATGCATAGTTGGGAAAGTATATATAATGTTTTGCATTTGACAAAAATATTTGAAGGAATGCATAAACTAGGAACATAATGCAGATATTAGGAAAATGTAGATATAACATATAAACCAAACATGTAAAAATTTCATATAACTTTTTTCTTCTGCCAGTGCACATTTTATTCATGAATGGGTCATATTTTGGAAACAGCAAATTGACAGATTTGCCAGATCTTCTTCTCTCTTTTTTATTTTTTGCAATAATTGTTTTAAAGATTCTAAAGATAAACGACTAGTACAAACTAAAGAAAGTATAAAAAGTAAAGACAAAGAAAAGTACAAAGATAGAAAACAAGAAAATAAAAAAGAAAAGAAAAAGAAA